CCCCAAAACCCCAAAACCCCAAAACCCCAAAACCCCAAAACCCCAAAACCCCAAAACCCCAAAACCCCGGTTAGTCAAGTGACAATGAAAAATTCATATCTAATTCTTGGGATTAATTTATAGAGGACTCTAACAGGAAATCAGTAGTTAAAATAGCCCTTCCTCCTTTAATCTTGTTGAGTGTCCTTATTTTTGATCATCTCCATCATCTTGAGGACTGAGGGTGCTGATTGATTCGGTTTCTTTGGTTGGTAGCTCTCCAGCTTTATCGCTTTCATATGGGGATCCTAAAATAAAGTTAGAGGGGGTTCTTAAGTTAAAATTTGTTCCTTACTCCTTTTATCACTTTCTTTTCCATCTCCAATGTACTTAGTGGTCAAGGTCTTGAACCTGTTCTCCTTTCCAGAGTTATTGCTATAAGTGTCTGAGTCTGCTTCTCTTCCTGATCCAATGTATTTTCCAGTCATGAATCTGCTGGATTGGCTGCTGTCCAAGTATGAAGAGGTGTTTATACCACCATACTTGTTATACTTTCTTGGGTTCTTTGTCTTTTCCTTGAGTCTCTCATTTTGCATCACCAAGTTTTCGTTCCTCTTTTCGAGTCTAGTGATAGTATCTTGCATTTCAGTTTTGATGCTATCGAAGTTGTCTTTTTCCGTATTCCATCTGGCTTGTTGCTTTTCGATTTCGAATTTCAAACTACTTTTATCTGATTCAGAGGCCATGAATTTTCTTTCAATTTCTGATATTTTTGATTTTAGAGTTTCTCTTTCTCTATCAATTGTCTGCTGATGCTCAAGGATGGCCTTATCTCTTTGTTGTTTTAATTGAGAGATTTCTTCTTGTTGAGCAATATCTTTTTGCTCAAGGTCGTTCAGACGTTTCTCAAGTGTTCTGGCAGATGAGCTTGAGTCTCTGAAAGTTAGTTCATACTTCTCTTGTAAAGCATGGTTTTTCTGTTCAAGATCTTTATTTTTGTCCAAAAGTTCATTGACATAATTTTCATGTGATTCCTGCACCTTGTTCATCTTGTCCTTATATTCTTTTTCCATACGATTGAACATGTCCATTTGCTTCTTTTCTTGATCAACTGAGGATCCTTTATTCTGAAGTTGAAGGATGGCTTCCTTTAACTTTCTCTTTCCTTCTTCAACATCATTCTTGAGAGATTCCTTTTGCTCTTTGGTGAATTCAGCTTGAGTCTTCCAAAGAGCTTGATCTTTGTCATATTTACTCTGAAGATCGTTTCTCTCTTTCTCCAATTCAGCATAGAGTTCCTTGAGTTCTTCGTATTTGACTAGACTCTCTTGAGTAGTCTTTGAGCCTTTATCTTGCAATTCATGAATCTTTTCTTTAAAGGAATCCATTTGTTTCTTATATTGCTCTGATTTCTTCTCGATTTCCTTCTCAAGATTTTCGATCCTATCCAGATGTGAGGCCTTCTCACGCTCAAGCTTGGTAATTTTAACTGAGGTTGACTTTTCAAGTTCTTTGTAAGCTTTCTTCTTCTCGTCAAATTTGGCGATCACCTTATCCTTCTCTTCAATGATTTTAGCCATCTTAGCATTAACTTCTTGAGTTTGCTCACTCTTTTGAGAGTCAAGTTTTTCTTGATACTTGGTGGAGCTATCAGCTAAGGCTTTCAGTAATTCCTCAATCTTCTTATCTTGGAATTCAATCTTCTGTTTTGTCAAGGCTTCTTCTCTTCCAGACTCAAGTTTCTTTTGCATAACTTCATCAGCTATCAGTTGGCTCTTCTCTCTCATATCATCAATTTGTTTCTCAAGAACACTCCTGGATTCGCTGAATTCTATTCTCAGTTGCTCAACTTCCTCGTTTTTCTTTCTAATATCATTTGCCAAAGATTCATTCTTGCTCTCAAGAGAAGTAATGGTTTTCTCTTTCTGAGTAATTTTTTGTTGAATCTCATCAGTCTTGTTCAACAGCTCTTTCCTTTCCTTGTTGAAGGTGACAAGTTGACTGTCCATGGCAACTGTATTCTTCACCTGAACATTGTCTAATGCTTCCTTTGTTTCCTTGAGATGTTGCTCTAATGATTGAATCTTTTGCTCTGAAAGAGACATCTCCTGATCGAATCTATGTCCCAAAGCTTCAAGCTGATCAGACTTATCTCTAAGTTCATCTTGGAGCATATCAAGTTCTTCCTCATGTTGGAATTGTTCATCTTGGATTCTTTGTTCATAATCTTCAACGGTATTCTTGACATTCTTAACACCTTTATTCTTCTCATCTTGAATCTTTTTCTTAAGTCCCTCTTTTTCAATTTCATAGAAGGATTTCAGTTGGGCCAAATCTTCTTCGAACTTCTTTTGCAGCTCTTCTATCTCAGTCTGATTGATAATGTTCTTCTCTTCAAGGTCTCTTTCAAGTTTGTCTACTTGACTTCTATATCTTTCTTCAGTATGTTGCACAAGTGTCTGCTTGGATTGCTCAAGATCCTTAGCTTCAATACTAAGTTGATCTCTCTCTTTTTGAGCCTTTTCTAAGGCTTCAGTCAGGTTAGCGATTTCCTTGGTAGCATCAGTTGTGTGTAACTTGAGTTGCATTTTGGCATCACCTTCACTCTTTCTAAGCTTATCAAGTTCTTCAGAGAGTTTCTTGTTGGTTGTTTCGAATCTTTCTTCCAAATTTTTCATTTCTTGGATATGCTCTTGCTTGATTTGCTCAATCTTTTTATCAGCTTCTTCGATGACTCCTTCTTTTTCAGTCTCTCTATTCTGAACTGCCTTGAGCATAGATTCATGGGTCTTCCTATTCTCTTCTAGCTTCTCTTGACTCTCCTTGAGTTGAGTCTCCAAGAATTCATATTTTTGTTGTTGTATAGTAAATTCTTTCTCCATTTTACTATTTTCAGCAGAGAACTCATTTATTTTCCGTGATAGTTCAAGCTTGAACTCTTCACATTGTAACTTTAGACTATCTCTTTCTTCTTGTAATTCAGAGTTGAAGGTCTTCTGGTTTTCTTCTAAGTCTTGCTTGAGATTTTCGTTTTCTTCCTTGAGTTTCTCAATTTCAGCTGCAATAGAGCGTAAATTCTTGAGTTCAATATCTTTCTCACTGATAGTAGAATTGGATACATAATTCTTTTGTTCTAGTTCTGAAATTTTGTTGTCCTTTTCTGTAATCTCATCCTGAGCATCATCCAGCTTCTTGTTGAGCTCGTTGATCTTCTCCTCATACTTCGAGTTGCTCTCCTTCAATGATGATGTCAACTCTTTCTTCTGATTCTTGATTTCTGTTTGGTAATCTTTTTCTTTCTGTTTGGAAGTTTCGATTGACTTCTCCAAGAACTCCACTTTCTGTTCAAGCAAGGCCTTCTGCTTGTCGCTCTCAGACTCAGTGGCCATCATGCGTCTCTGAGACTCTTTAGCGTTCTCTTCGCTAGAAACCATTCTGCCCTTATATTCTTCAACAAGTCTGTGGGACTCAGTCTTTTCGGTCTGGAGGCGTGCTTTCCACTCCTGCTCTGCACTCTCTTTCTCCTTCTTGACGTCAGCAAGGCTCTCGCGCATGGCCTGCTCTTTGGCAATGAGTTGGGCCTTCTCGTTCTCGGAAGACCTCATTTTGCCTTCGTAATCATCTTTTCACTGGTTGAGGTCGCTCTTGAGTTCAAGGACTCTTGCTTCAAGCTTCTCCTGAGCCTCTTTGCCGAGTGTGGTTTGCAGCTTGAGTTCGTTCTCGGTTGTCCTCAAGAAGTAAGCAGCTCCATCCGTCAGTGCATTGATGACGTAGTTCTTGCAGATAGCTTCTCTGTTGGGTCCACAAGGCCCTCTGTCCATGAAGGCAGCTTCTATTTCACCCACGTCTTGCTCATATTGATGGAAGTTGGCATACTCTTGGTTTCTAAGTTTGTCTTCGATCGGAGCAAAGAAGTTCTGAAGGAACACTCCAGCTTCAGTCTTGGTGATCTTCTCGTTCTCAGCTCTGATCTGGCTGTACTTCTCCTTCATCTTGGCTTTGAGGTCATCTTTGTACTGCTCTGAGACATCTCCGACAGAGTTCTGAGCAAACATTGTCATTGCAGAGTTCTTGGCTTCTTTGTACATGTTCTTGAGGTCGTATTCGAACAGCGGAGCGTGCATTTCGAACGAACTGGTGAGGTCTTCGCAGAAAGATTCATAAGCTTTTTCTAGCGCTTTCTGGCATTCTCCTTTGCTGATGTAGGTCCAGGCGTTTTCGATGTTGGGCACAGCACCCTTGTTGATAGCAGTCACGTAGCTGGTAACCAAGTCTGCAAACATCGGACCTGACAAAGCCGGGCCACCCAAGAGAGTTTTGGGCTTAATTCTCTTCATAACTTTGGCTCTGAGCGAAGATATTTGAGACCTGAATTCAGCACGGAGACTCTCGAAGTCACAAGTCTCGAGATTCTGAAGATCTTCTTCTTTGGTAGATGGTCTGACGACAGTGCAACAGTCTCTTTCTTTGAAGAAGCATCTTAGAAGTCTTCTGATTCTGTTCTTTTGCTCGGCTGATTCAGAAAATCCTTTCTGTTCATGAAGAGCTTTATCCAAATAATCTTTTGATGTAATTGATTCACCTTCTGAATCTACCAACTGTAAGCTGAAATCTCTAACGACCCACATGAAACTTGGGAAGTACTTTGAGTATTCTTCTGGATCAACTTCCTGGGACATTCCATTTGATTTAATTTGGATGTGCTTTGTAAGTTGAACCACCAAAGAAAGTGATTGTAGCGCATTTTCGTCGATACTTCCCATACTGTTGTAGATGAAATATGATGAGAGCAAAATAGCAAGTGAGAAGATTCTCACATCATGGTTGCTGTCTTCATCAAGAGCTCCAAGTCCTTCAGAGTCCAATACTAGTACGTTAATGTCTTCTTTATCAGGCGTTCTTCCTTTCACTACTTTATTTCCATACCCATATACCCTATCAAAAATTAACGGTTGGAAATTGCAAGATTTCACTTACTTTGGTGCAAGCATTTACTGTATTGCCTACTCCGAACCCTGAGTTTCTGTTGAGCAGAACTCTGTTCAAAAGGTAGCTCTTTCCAGTTCTGTACATGCCAGCAACAGCAATAACTCCTAATGGAGCTTCAATAGTTCTCAAGAACTTTATTGCGTCTTGATTTACAACAAATTCTATAAAACCCGTCAATACTGAAATTAGAGGAAATGATACCTTTTTTTTCTTCGTCAAAATAGATGAGAGCAACAGCGTCTTCAGAAGCTAAATCTTCATATCTTAGTTCGTCTGCTTCCATGTTGATATTCCTATTCTTAATTTTAAATTATGAAATCAATCTAGATTTTTCGTTATGGGGTTTTGGGGTTTTGGGGTTTTGGGGTTTTGGGGTTTTGGGGTTTTGGGG